AGGTAGACGTTGAAATGCGTCAGAGAGAGAGAACCTGATATGTATTAATATACGCCAGATAAAATTAGTTTTACAGTAGCTAGAAATAGAAATATAAAGGTAGGAAAGATTATTCCTCCTGCTTGAAAACTTACTAAAGAATGATTGATAGTGAGGCACTGATATTAATAGAAGATATTTGTAAATATTAACTGTTAAACAAGGATCAAAATATATTAAAAGGCACGAGTCGTATCTGATGTTAGGTTTTCCTCGCACAGGAACATAACCTACAGGAATAATACAGCCACAAATACAACGCTAATGAAGTCACGAAATATGACTTATGGATAGGCACAAAAATCTACGAGGGACAGGCATGAGTTATAAATAACAGGCACGAAACCTAACTAATAGACAAGAAGATAATGACTGAAAAACAGTTAAGAAACAAAAGGTGCGGGGTTAATTTGAAACCAGACCAATACTAAGGATTTTCAACCATCAGTAATTTAGGTTTCTTTATAAAGAATAATTATTTTTCGTAAATAACAAATTCTTTTAATATTTCATAATCTCGATCAGTAATTATTATTATGAACATCAAAATTATGTTTCCCATTCAATCATTTAATGTTTTTTTTTAATTCTAGGTTTTCATAATGCATTACTATAATAATATAATAAATTATAGTGATGGACTGTTGATAGTTAATTGAAAATGCTTAATAGCATATTGCACATCGGGATGCACAATAACCATACGCTATCAAGAACTATCAAGCACTTGCAATTGCTGATCTGCAACAATAAATGTATTCACAGCAGGAACAATGTACATTAGTTCACAATACATATTGATATCCAACAAAAACTAATTAAATTTATTAACAGTTTTAGCCTGAATTGAACAGTTTATTTTTTTATTTTATTGTAAATATTATCTAGCCAATTTTAATTGTGTTCACACAAAGTTATTTACAAACAAGTGTAAAACACGTTCGGGTGCTTGACCCGAATGATCTTTAATTAGGCTAAGCCATTTACAAATGTGACTATTATAAGCGGAGGATGGACGTGACTGTAACTATTCTTTCGCCAGCTGTTGCACAAGTGTGCGGGTTCATGACCGACAAACTATAATTATGCAGCAGGTGTAACCATAGGTGTAAATTGCTGAGCACTGAGATTACTGAGCTGCAGTACCTGAACCCATTGAATGGTTTGTAACCTTTCTGCAGCTTAGCCACAAGTTAGACATGAGGTCCTTTTAAACTAATTAAACTAAACTTTGATACCTATAATATAATGCTGTTCGCTCGAGCGTTGTTGATTACTTTGCTCAATCTCTATGCAAATTCTTCCTCGAAATAAATTTTGTTTTGGCAGTTTGCATGTTTTTAGTAGAGATATTGATTCATTTAGTGTGAGAATGGTTTGAAATATGCTCTCACCTCCACCTCAGTATGGTAGAAAAAATCCTGGTTTCGCAAACGAGGAGTCACAATAACGTGTCTGAAATATGTTGACCAAACTACACACTAGAAAGTGAAGCGATGATGACGTTTCGGTCCGTCCTGGACCATTCTCCATTTTCACAATTGTTTTCACAATTCAGTCATTTTCACATTTAACTTGAGAACTGTTCCGGACGGACCGAAACGTCGTCATCGCTTCACTTTCTAGTGTGTGGTTTGGTTAACAAATCATGGATATATTAGATATGTCTTTTTTCGCAGGTTTTTCTTGAGTGAACCGAAAACAGGAACTGAAAATTCCACACCCCCAGAAGGATTCGAACCCAGATAGCCAGGAGTGCTATGCACCTATGCCAGCCTGGTACCTTAACCAAAAGTACCTGGTACCTTACCTTAATCTTTCTGCCCCTACATACTGATACTTCCCCTGGACTTACGCCCCTACATATTGAGTCTCTCCTAATCTTATATCTTTGCATATTTACATTTTTCTAGTCGTACACCATTTTTATACTGACACTTCCTTAACCTTACATCTAGCGTAGTAATAGTTCCCTAGCCTTACTTGCCTCCAAACTGGCACACCTAATTCAAAGTTATTCATTAATGACACGACTGTGGTCAAGATTTTCTCTGTCCTACAGACACTTCTACTCCATATTTATGCTCCATTAACATATTGATATTCTATTATATTGATCCATTAACCTCAATACCTCTCTTGATCATACAGAATACTTTTACTTCAATAATCTTACACGGCATTCTTAACTCATTACTGATAATCCCTCTTACCGTACACAATTGGATATTGACCCGTACGCAGACTTGTTAAATAGGTGTTCAGGCTTAATGCCTGAACGTAGTTCATCACAGATCATCAACGACACCATATTATCATATTCGATAATACTGTCTCTCTATTCGTATAATGGCTTGGCGCTTTCCCTGATAATTCCCTTTCCTTCTATTCATACACAATTCAGTAATAATACTTCAGAATGGTACACAATTTATTATAAGAAACCTTTAATAATAACTCCTTATTTGTTATTATTAATAATAATAGCTATTATTAGGAATTATTATTAATAATAGCTCCTATTTGTATGTACTTTAAAACTAATTCGTCCCATTTCGTACGAAATTAATAATAATTATTTTTATACTCAATACTGTCACATCCGTATCCCCTACCCCACGTTCTCTCAGTTGTTATTGTTGCTTTACATTTAGCTACTCAGAACGAAGGGTCCATGTAGCACGGGCTATGGTGAGCCCGTAATTCTCTCAGCATTTATCGTTCTCTTGTACACGCAAACTGTTCACCTCACCGATACCTGAATAGGGAGCCTGCGTTGCACGCAAAAACTATTAGCAGCTATTATTTTGTCTCTATTATTCCTGTCAATACTACCTGTGCAATTACTTAGTTGATTTAGCATATTTTTACTACAGGGTTTTTAACTTCTAAATGAGTTTCTTTGTTTCATCGTTGATTAGATCGCTCGTCAGCCATGAGTCACGTCTTTTATGAGAACACAATTGCGTCTTCACAGGGTAATTACCGGCTCCTTCAAAAATACAGATTTTATTGGTTGTCGAGTGATGATATAAACTACCCTGCTGCTCGCCCGAGACCAAATTTAGTCAGCTATTGCAAGTGCATCATTATAATTGGCCGCTAATTAGGTAATTTTGAGTTTTTTTTATGTCGGATCAGCGGAAGATCTAAGGTATTCAGATATCTTGTGAGCTATAATTAGTTAATGTCTCGCTAATGACAAGCGGCTGTTTTTCTGATCATTGGAAAGCCGGGACCTCACTGCTTTTATTAATTCTTGCTAATCGTGTTCAGGAGATATTATGAGCGGTTCTGGGCTGAGTTCCGGGTGGTTTTATCTTCCCAGCGTCTATGAAAAGGCTTCTACTGATGATATTATTCGGTTATTGAACTCTTTCCTCTCCACAGTGTTCATTAAGCACGGTGTTTCGCCGGGGCAGCAAATGGAGCACAATTAATTGAGCATTTTGCAGACAGAGGCCACGTACGTCCACGCTAATTGAGCAATAAACTGTTATGGAAGTGAAAAGGGAAGAATTGGATATGAAGATTATATAAATGAATTGGTCGAAAATGCGACTTCCATAATTTCTCTCTGTCTCTCTCTCTGTCTGTCTCTCTCTCTCTCTCTCTCTCTCTCTCTCTCTCTCTCTCTCTCTCTCTCTCTCTCTCTCTCTCTCTCTCTCTCTCTCTCTCTCTCTCTCTCTCTCTCTCTCTCTCTCTCTCTCTCTCTCTCTCTCTCTCTCTCTCTCTCTCCTCTCTCTCTCTCTCTCTCTCTCTCTCTCTCTCTCTCTCTCTCTCTCTCTCTCTCTCTCTCTCTCTCTCTCTCTCTCTCTCCCTCCCTCCCTCCCCCCTTCGCATACCAGTTACACCTGTCATTAAAGAACTACTCCTTTTCACAGTGGCCTTGACTTCAGGGACTGTGTCACGAGACACGAGGGCGCCACGTGATTGCTGCGTGTTGCGTGCGTCCACTACACGTGCGTGTTGGGTGTAGGCGTGGGGGTGTGGGGGAGACAGGGGCGTGGGGGTGTGGGGGGAGACATGGGCGTGGGGGTGTGGGGGAGACAAGGGCGTGGGGGTGTGGGGGAGACATGAGCGTGGAGGTGTGGGGGAGACAAGGGCGTGGGGTGTGGGGGAGACATGGGCGTGGGGGTGTGGGGGACACAAGGGCGCGGGGTGGACTAACTAGAGGTACATGGTTGGTGCGTCCAGGCTAATTGATGCCAGGACAGTTGTTCACCGTCTTGGACCTGAAATTTTCTTTGGTCATTTTAGAATTGTTTTCAGTAGGTTTTGTGAGTGCTTTTATTACCTTCGGCGAAGTGCTTTTTTATCGTGTAGTTCACGTGGGATTTTGTATACATGACTTTGTTGGTTATATTGACGTGTCTAGGTTTCATATTGATATTGTGTAGCTTCCTACGCAGTATTATTGACAAGGGGCACGATGCTGGTCACTGAGTTCACGGTAATATTGATTATATACATAGTATTTTAACTATGTACAGATCTTTATCCACTCAGCGCAGTTTAGTTGGCTCCGAGCGCGGTATTGGTCTTACATGTTGTTTGACCTTATTAGTCGGCTGTGTACTCACCTATTTCGTGTGTGTGTGTTTGTGTGGACAATTACAACACTCTCATGTACCTCGACAGTCACTTACAGTCTCGCAATGACACCCCATTCGCGTCAAACACAAACACACAAAATTCTTTCTAACGCGATAGAGACGTTAGAAATATTTTTTTCAGTGTCAGAGTAGTAGACAAATGGAATGCATTAGGAAGTGATGTGGTGGAGTCTGACTCCATACACAGCTTCAAGTGTTGATATGAAATAGCCAGTAGGCTCTGGAACCTGATTGACAGTTGAGAGGCGGGACCAAAGAGCCAGAGTTCAATCCCCGCAAGCACAACTAAGTAAGTACAACTAGGTAAGTACACACACACATTAATTCTACTTTTCTACCTTCATCATGTATGCTGCCTCCCTCCAGCTGCTGGTCATGTATGCTGCCTCCCCCCAGCTGCTGGTCATGTATGCTGCCTCCCCCCAGCTGCTGGTCATGTATGCTGCCTCCCTCCAGCTGCTGGTCATGTATGCTGCCTCCCTCCAGCTGCTGGTCATGTATGCTGCCTCCCCCCAGCTGCTGGTCATGTATGCTGCCTCCCCCCAGCTGCTGGTCATGTATGCTGCCTCCCCCCAGCTGCTGGTCATGTATGCTGCCTCCCTCCAGCTGCTGGTCATGTATGCTGCCTCCCTCCAGCTGCTGGTCATGTATGCTGCCTCCCCCCAGCTGCTGGTCATGTATGCTGCCTCCCTCCAGCTGCTGGTCATGTATGCTGCCTCCCCCCAGCTGCTGGTCATGTATGCTGCCTCCCCCCCAGCTGCTGGTCATGTATGCTGCCTCCCCCCAGCTGCTGGTCATGTATGCTGCCTCACCCCAGCTGCTGGTCATGTATGCTGCCTCCCCCCAGCTGCTAGTCATGTATGCTGCCTCCCCCCAGCTGCTGGTCATGTATGCTGCCTCACCCCAGCTGCTGGTCATGTATGCTGCCTCCCCCCAGCTGCTGGTCATGTATGCTGCCTCCCCCAGCTGCTGGTCATGTATGCTGCCTCACCCCAGCTGCTGGTCATGTATGCTGCCTCCCCCCAGCTGCTGGGAGTGAGCCAAGGTGAGGAGAACATCCAGATTCGTCCTCAGTCGATAACCATAAAGGTTGAGGCTATTTAAGGCTCCAGTTACATTTTCACCACCGTAATCTTAATCTTATATCAATACCGACGTTACTTTATATATATAAATGTTGTAATTAAAATGTTACATTTTAAAGTCTTACGTTTCATAAAATGTCATTTTTAGTATTAAAAATAAAATAAAGAATTCAATGCCTGTAATAGTATAAGTTCATATTTTATTTCAACCTGTAAATTTAGAATTATTTAGAATTGACCTTCAAACGTTTGCCATTTTAAAACGTTTTAATGAATTCGTAATCATAAGTCTCTCAGCATCAACATTTCAGTTGGAGGAAGGGTAAAGCCTGGGTAATTCCAGATGTAAATTCCCTCAATGGTTTGTTTACAAAAATAAATATTTAGTCGCCTTTAACCCTTTTTATTGTTTAGCTGCATCACCAGATTTTTTATTTTGGTTGCAAGAGGATAATTCGCGTTTAAAACCATTTGAAACCCGTTTAAAAACATTAAAAAATTGTCTATACAGTATACCTAGGTCATAAAAGTATTTGTGTGTACGTCTGATACCATACTACTTGTGAAGGAGGAAATGTATATGTTTACCTCTCAGAATGTTTGGTAATGTGTTTATTTGTGATGTGTGTCTATGTTTATATTAACACGTTGTACTGAATGGGGTGAGAATAGCTTGAGCTACCTCATCCCTTTGTGTGTATTTTACCTCAATAAACTTATTTCAATTTCAATTTCGTTTAAAACCACTATTGTACACTTCTATCTCTGAAACACTTAAGTACGCATCTGGACAGATGGCCGATTTATGTCCACTCCGAATTAAAGATGAAACACTTATTACCCAAGGACAACAACAAATAATAAATTATGTGTTATATTAATATTATTTTATATTCATAAGTTGCGAACCTCGTTTCAATGTGTATATACTCGTTGTATAATTTAGTTCTGAACATGTTTTGGACTATCATACATATTATGGTTGGCCAAGGTAGTTTTACGGACTAAACAAACTTCCAGAGGTTTATAGGCCCTAAGCCCAATATGACATCAAACCAAGGCAAGACTTTAATTCAATAGATTCGCTTTTTGCGGGGTCAACGTTCAATACCCGCGGTTGCACTTGGTTGTGAACTACTTTTTCTCCGTCCATCTAACCCAGCTTATATCCTGTCCACAAATCCCATACGCGAATTAAATAATAATTCTGGTTATGCTCCTGGTAATTATTTGTGTGTGTGTGTGTGTGTGTGTTTGTGTGTGTGTGTGTGTGTGTGTTTGTGTGTGTGTGTGTGTGTGTGTGTGTGTGTGTGTGTGTGTGTGTGTGTGTGTGTGTGTGTGTGTGTGTGTGTGTGTGTGTGTGTGTGTGTGTGTGTGTGTGTGTGTGTGTGTGTGTGTGTGTGTGTGTGTGTTAAACACCTCGAAGACTCCAAGAAATAAACACTTTGCTAAGTGTCTTTGTTGAACCCCCAAAAAGTGACAAAACTTTGTTAGCAATTGCATTATATTGTCCAGTTTACTTTAGTGTCTGCTGTTGCAATTCTCTGTATTGTATTGCACTGTGCCGTATAGTATTTCAATGGGCTACACTGGTTGTATTAAACTACACTCTACTGCGTTGAAAAATGTTGTAAACTCACGGAAGCCTCTTTGGGTTTGGGTAACAGACCGAGTTGTTCAGGGTTAGAGTGGGAAAAGGGCTGTTGAAGTTCAGTTAGTTTATTGAGATAATAATATGAATCCCAAAAGGATAGAATAGCTTAGGCTATTTCTAACCTTCTAAAGGTAAATGTCAACAGAATTCGGTGTTTCCAGACGGTCACCCATCCACGAACTAAACAAATCCAACGTTGCTTAACTTCACAGATTGCACAAGAAGCGGTGTTCTCAACGTGGTATTTGCCGTTGGAAAGGAATACTGCACCAACTTTGCCGACCAAGACAATCAGTAATGACTGAAATTACATTAACTTGTCCTTATAGGCCCAATATGATAAAAGAAAGGCTTTCATAGGCGAGAAACTTTTATAATGAACATGAAAATTTATCTATCAATCTAACGAGAAATGCTTAAGAATGAAGGCAAGAAAAAAGTAATTATGAAGTGAGAATGTCCAGGGAAACAAGACAACGACTAATTCACGAACTGTTCGTCCAGGTGTACTAAATGAAGGAGAGGACCGGGTCATTAAGGCGGGTCATCTAACAGATAATGGAGAAGGATTGGATGGTATTATAATGGGATACAAGCATTTTTTTCCACCATTATAATACAAACTTCTTAATATGCCAGGATTTTATTCACATTTCCTTATAAATTTAGTAGATCAGTAAACTAGTAGTTTCTTGCAAGGGAATTAGGAAATTAATAGTATTTAATAATATATAATAAAAGTTAAATAAGTCTTTGGCTCGGACAACGTATATACCAGGAAATTAAAACATTATAAAAAATATGCTTAGTCAATCCTTGTAAAGTATATACAATTGAGCATTAAATGAAGAAATATGACGCAATAGTTTAGAATTGCGAAAGCAGTTTCGATTTCTTAAAAGGAGTGTAGAAAACTACAATAAATCAATCGTTCAATCACCTAATTAGCCGTATATTGATAATTCGAATACTTTCTTCCAAATTTTTCGCAGTTCTCCTGTTTCCAGCGACTTGTAATGCATTTAGTAGATCATTTACTTACACCAATAACTACAAATAGAATTTGTGCTCATTTTGGAAAACATAAATTATATATTCTCAAAATACCTTTACAAGATAACTCAAACATTTTACCAATTTACAAACATAGAAGTAGTAAACAGTGGTAAAGAGTTCGTTATTATTTAGCTAGATATTTGTAAAGCATTTGACAATTGCATAAGAAAGGTTGATAAGCAAAGCAAATACACATGTATTGGAAAAGACCTATTAGTGAACTATATCAAGGGCATGGTTAATACAAAAGAATCAGAGAATCTTTATACACAGAGTAAAATATGAAACGGGAATAATTGTAAATTGAGAATTAGAATGTGTTAATCCTGGGTCCCCGTGCATACACCAAATATTTAAATGACTTAGCATCAGGGATGTACAAGAACTTTGGTGAAATTGACGTTGACGCTAACACGGAGAAGACTAGAAACTTAATTGCACACAGAAAACACAATAGCGTGATGCATCAATGAACAAATCCACAATGGCCGTGACGAGGATTCGAACATAGCCCATTGACATAGCTCGAGTGCATGTGGGAGTTGTGTAAAACCCTGGTTTGAGTCTCGGAGAGGCTGCAGGATCCACGTAAAATAGGTACACCTTCTGGCTTCAACTCTTTTGACCATGTCGTAGCTCAGTCGATTAAAGTAGCGTCTGGGATGATCTCGGACGTAGGTTCGAATCCTCGTCATGGCCCTTGTAGATTTGTTTACTAGAAACTTAACTGCTAGGTTCGGGTAATATTATTACCCGAACCTCAAAGTGGCCAGGAAAACGGTTTACACAACTGCCAAATATTATCGAGAATGTTCAGGAAAATATGATGACGAAACCACACATCAGAAAATGAAGAAACGACGACGTTTCGGTCCGTCCTGGACCATTATCCAGCCGTGTAAAGGACGTGATTGATTGACTGATGAAGATTAAGCCACCCAAGAGGTGGCACGGGCATGAATAGCCCGTAAAAAAGACGAGAGTTGTTGTTTTTTAGATTTAGGTACTCAGAACGAATTGTCCATGTAGCACGGGCTATGGTGAGCCCGTAAACCAAGACGAGAGGAAGGTATAGGCAAATATAAGGTAAGAGAGTGAGGTGAGGAACAGGTAAGAATAGGATGAATGTAAGAAAAATATGTGATTTATTTTGACATATAACACCAGGACATACACTCCATAAATATTCGAAACCATATTTGTTTCGGTGTTATGAGTACATATTGACCACACTGGTCTTGGAAACGTGTTAGGAATCTGTTGTTGTCATGGGATTGGGTGTGGAAACTGATGGTGAGATGGTGACGGTTTTATGCCTGGTTCGGGACGACTATGCTGGTCTTGGGGTGGGAAATCTGACCATTAGTCTGCTTCTGATCTATTTTATTATCTCAATAAACTTGAACACGAACCTCAATCTAACTAAACTTATTTTGAGGACGGTGGAGAATCGGAGAGTTCTGGTCTGAGGGTTGGCTGGGGGCACCAACGGTGCTGGTCTGAGGGTTGGCTGGGGGCACCAACGGTGCTGGTCTGAGGGTTGGCTGGGGGCACCAACGGTGCTGGTCTGAGGGTGGGCTGAGGACATCAACGGTGCTGGTCTGAGGGTTGGCTGGGGGCACCAACGGTGCTGGTCTGAGAGTGTTGGCTGGGTACACCAACGGTGCTGGTCTTAATTGGTTTAAGTAAAACAATTCGGGTTTGCCAAGTCAAGAAGATTCGTAAACAGTTTTCATGCTCCGTTACGTCGTCTACAGTTTATTAGGTCTGTGAGGTAGTCTCTCCATGTAAACTCTGTCTCTAGGACTGTTGTGATACACGGGGCTCTGTGCACTCTGAGACTGTTGAGAGGAACGAGTGCTCTGTACTCTGCTTGGGGTCTTTTGTGAGGAAGGGAATATCTTCACGCTTTCTTTGGGCTTTGCGAGGAACTGACGATTTATGACCTATGTTTTGGTCTTTTATGAGGCACGACCGTTCTGTACACTGTGATTGGGAGAACGTTCATGAAGGGATAGTTCATGCCGATCGCTCGGTCTGATTATCTCAGGTATTGCTACTGTTCGCTACATTTGTTGCAAATACTCTTACAGTTGTAACTGTAATTGTACAACAACTTGTCACGTCAGTCACCAGACTCGACTACTATTACTACTACTACTACTACTACTACTACTACTACTACTAATACAACTACTACTAATAATAATATTACTACTACTACTACTATAATTCCTACTACTATGACTACTACTTCTACTTCTGCTAGTATCGCTACCACTGCTACTTCTGCTACTACTACGGTTGCC